TAGGAAACAGCTCACCCCTATAGGTAAAAACCTGTAAGAGAAAGTCATACAGTGAATATTTTGTTCTTTGAAACTCCTTCTATGTGACTCCTGAGAAGGTGAGCACACTCCAGTGGGAGGCCACAAAATATTGGGATGCACAAAATTTCTTCTGGAAAAAATGTCCCAAAATCTGGCCAAAGTGGGAGTGGGGTGAATCTGGGAAGAGCTGGAGAACAAGAGAGTCAAGACAGATTAAACTATCAGTGATTGTATTTGTCAGGGTTTTCTAGAGGATCAGAACTGATAGAACTTATTAGGGTAGTGTACTGGCTGGTTTTGTATGTCAACTTGACACTAGCTGAAGTTATCACAGAGAAAGAAGCCTCCCTTGAAGAAATGCCTCCATGAGATTCAGTTTGATGGCATTTTCTCAACTAGTGATCAAGTGGGGAGGACCCAGCCCATTGTGAGTGAGCTGGTAATCCTGGGTTCTATAATAAAGCAAGCTGAGCAAGCTAGGACAAAAAAGCCAGTAAGCAGCATCCTTCCATGATCTCTGCATCAGCTCCTGCCTCCAATTAATGCCTTGTGTGAGTTCCAGTCCTGGCTTCTTTTGGTGATAAACTAAATAAACCCTTTTCTTCCCAATTTACTTCTTTGGCATGATGTTGTGTATAGGAATAGGACTCTTTACTATGACAAACTGATACCAGCATAGTGGAGTATTCTGTGACATCCTGACCATATCTTTAGAAGGACTGTGGAAGGACTTTGGAACATTGGGCTAGAAGAACCACTGGAATGTTAAGAGCTCTGGGGGATGTCTGTAAGAACTTGGAGGATAATATTGAGAACAATGCAAAGATGGAGGCCTGGCTTGGGAAATTTCAGAGGGAAGATTAAAGACTCTTATCAGGGCCATTGCTGTTTTGATTGTGAAGACTCTGAGGTTTTAGTTAGCTGGGGCTGAAGAATTCACTGTGATTAACAAGATACCAGAACTACTAAAGTAATACATTCATATTACTGGAACAATTGATGCTGGTTAGCTAGAGATAAGAAATGAGCAGTGACTAAGAAGAGACTAGAATCACTTAGGTGAAATCATCTGGGAAGTGTTTCCTGGGAGCACAGAGAAGTTGTGTTCCAGAGGCAGCCATGATTGTACTTTATGTTGGCAGCCAGACTTGGTAATGTCTAAGAGTAACCAAGATGGTACTGGTCTTGAAACATGAAGGGGAAGCAGCTGATGCTTGCCACTGTGAGAGGCCAGGAGAGGCCACTAGTGAAGGTCCAACCTCAGTGGCAGTTGAAGGCCCAGGACTGAAGGGATCGTGCAGAGACATGAGGCTTAGCACCATGAAAAGAGCCTATGAGAGGCTAGTTGTGAAACTGCAGTCCAGTTGCTGCAGTAGACAGTAGCGTTTTGGAGATGCCAGTACCACGAGATGGCCACCAAGAAGAGCAGGAGCAGTGGAGTACAGGCAGCCAGAGCCTAAAATACAAAGTGTGTGATATAAAGGGCAGAGGTGGAGAAGTGAACCAATCCATTGAAGGAGCCTAGAATATCATACATGGGTCTCAGACATTGGACAGATAGAGTTTGATTTTGCTTTTGATTGTGGCTGTGTCCTGATATTTTTCCCACTTAAAGGAAGAAAGTATTTTAGTGGAGCCCACAGTTAAGAGACTTTGAGTTGTAAAATGATTTTGAATTTCAAAAGAGATTGGATATTTTATAGGGAATGAAATTTTAATATATAAAAATTTGTAAAGACCTTGGGACTTTTAAAGTTATTTAGATCTTGGGAATGAATAGGAAAGTAAGGATTTAGGCTTAATAGTGATATACTTGTGTGTCAAGTTGACAAGGAGTCAGTTATACTGTCTGGTTTTGTGTGTTAACTTGACACAAGCTGAAGTTACGTTTCCTTGAGGAAATGCACCCATGAGATCCAGTTAGAAGGCATTTTCTCAATCAGTGATCAAGGGTGGAGGGCACAATCCCATTTGGGTGGGCTGGTAGTCCTGGGTTCAATAAGAAAGTAAGTTCAGCAAGTCAGAGGTAGCAATCCAGTAAGCAGCACCCTTTATGGTCTCTCTGTATCAGCTCCTGCCTCCACGTTCCTGTCCTGTGTGAGCTCCTGTCCTGACTTCCTTTGGTGATGAACAGCAATGTGGAAATATAAGCTGAATGAACCCTTTCCTCTCCAACTTGCTTCTTGGTCATGATGTTGGTGCAGGAATAGAAACCCAGGTAGCTTACAGCCTGTGGTCTAGCTAATCCAACAATGGCTGTCTACTAACAGAAATTCCAAGATTCCAGTAGTTGTTCAGTTCACATGGCTAGATATCTCAGCTGGTCTTCAGTGTATGCCAATTTCCTGAAAAAAATTAGGGTTTACTGTGTGTGAAGGGATTTATTTGCCAGAGAGAGAAAGAGACAGAGAGAGAAAAGAGGGGATAAACGGTAGAGAGGTGAGAGAAGGGGGAGAGAGGAGAGCAAGAGAAGGGGGAGAGGGGCAAAGAGAAGACAGGAGAGAGAGAGGGGAAGGAGAGAGCAGAGGGAAAGAGGGGAGAAAGGGAAGAATAGAGGAAGAGAGTAGAGGGGGAAAAGTAGAGAGGAGAGAATAGAGCAGATGAGAGTAGAGGGGAGAGAAAAAGTAGAGAGGAAAGATTAGAGGAGGGAGAGAGAGTAGAGGGTGAGAGAGTAGATGGGAGGGAGCATAGAGGGGAGGATGCATAGAGAGGAGGGGGTGTATAATGTAGGGGGATAGATAGGGAGACAGAGAGGTAAGAGAGGGGAGAGAAAGAAACAAAAAGAGAGAAAACACTTCCTTCTTCCATTTCCCCTGTATAGGCTGCCACCAGAAGGAGTGGTCCAGATTAATGGTGGATCTTCCCAGTTTGACAGATATGGATTAAAGATGGGTCTTCACATTTCAAAGGGTTTAGATGAGAAAAAATTCTTGACAGCAATACCCAACCTCTTGGGCTTAAGTTAATCCCAGATGAAGTCAAGTTGCTAACCAGCAATAGCCATCACAGTGATTAACTCCAAATCACCAATTATGCATCAGTGCTGCATTAAGAAAAGAAATAAAAGCACTTCCCTCAGAGCCATTTATCTAAGAATTAGTCACTGTTAAATTCTCTACATCACACTACCATGTGTTCAGTTCTCTGTCTCTGTTTTATGAGTCTGGTTTGTGCCTGACAGAGGCTGTCTTATGAATCTGTCCATGTCTGTATCTGTGCCAGTATGTCTGTCTGTCTGTCTGTCTGTCTGTCTGTCTGTCCTTCACAAAGGGCTTTGCTCTGTATGTACTAAACAACACAGAAAGCATCACACAGGGAATGAATGGGATACTCTACAGACACCCTTAACAGAAATGTGCAAGGGATTGAATCACTGACTCCAACTGACTCAGACAACAACCATAAAAGTTCATCAACCAATATACCCAAATATGCTCAACATTTATGGTGGATATTCACTTGAGAAGATCCCTTTCAGCCTGTGTGATTGTTGCTTTCAGTAAATGATCCACATGCACAGTTCTGTGTCAGGGAAAGGAAGTAACAGTTTAGATTCTGCAAGCTGATTATGTGGGAACTCAAGGCAAGTAGGCTTGGTTGTTACACTATTCTCTGAATGGCAAGTTAAATCAGCAGCATGAACACACAGTAGGACAGCAGTCTTAAGTCTTAGTGACTTCAAGATGTATCATTATCTTGGATGTAAAATCTAGCAAAGCTCCCAGTTTCTTAGAATGAAATAGATTTTTATCATAATACTGTAGGGCGCTTAGCATGCGCTCCGGTCACAGGGCGGCGGCGACAGAGAGTCAGTCGTCTCTGATGGCGGGCATGCAGAGCCGACCACCACGGAAAGAAAGGCTTCTCATCCCCTGTTCCATGAGCTGGCACACAGCAACAAGAGACACTGGACACAAGCTGTGAGGCTAACTAGAGTACAGAGAGTGCTGGGGCAGGCGGCCCCATGGCTAGCTTGAGTCCCTCCCCTGCCCCATGAGGGCAGGGGCGGGCAAGATTTTTGACTTACTCGGATCCAAAATTCACAAGACATGTAGAGATTTGGGATGTGTTGATTCATTAACAGATGGCGGGCTTGGGTGGTGAATGATAAAATGCTCTCCCGAAACATGTCGGAAGGTGTTTCGCTTATATATTGGAAACGGAGGAGAAGGGCGGGGCCAGAGAAATCTTGAGGCAGAGACTTGTTCTCTCTGCCCTCTCTCTGGGCTCTGGGGAGCGTGGCCAAATTACAGTCCCACATCCCACCCTTTGTTCTTTCATAAAAAAAAGGGGGCATCTCTGAATGTGGAGTCATGTGACAAGTGACTCTCATGTGAGTCTCTCCGTGGGAGGGATTGTGGAAGTTGAAGCTGAGAGAGTCAGAATGCTTGGGAAGGCCCAAATCACCTACCGTGTGAGGCTAGTCTCAGAGACCAGCACACGGGGCTTCTAGGGCCTTATCACCAGGCTTTCTGGTCTCCACAGCTCACTGTCTCACAATTCTCTCTCTTAGGAGAGGTGTCACCTGTGATAAAAATTTTGGATGAGGAAGTCGAAAGAAAGTATTATGTAGGCCAGAGGTATTAGTGTAATCACGTCACAGGGTAAGGGGAGCTGGAGGAGGGGGGTAGGGAAGGTAAGGGATCATTGAATCAATTGAATTTATGTGGTACAGTTTGAGGGTAGTAATATCTGACTAATCTAGATAGACATTACGTTTTCCTCACTAACATGTCACTTCAGCTATGTGACTTTGGCAAGAGTTCATCTGTAGTTGGTATCGAGTATCTCTGGGTCTTCAGTCAGACGAGATGACTGGGAGAAGGCAGTTTGTCAGGTTTCAGGAGATGGCGCTGTCTCGGCATCAGCTTGTCTCTGGAGTCTGTAGTCTATCGAGATGTAGGCAGCTTGTCTCTGTTGGATCTCTGGATATAATCACAGGGAAGCAGCATCTCCAGCAGGGAGATGTCTGAAAGGTGAGTATTGAATCACTCTTGGAAAGTCAAAAGTGTTTGAGGAAATTGGATGGCTGAAGGAGAAAACATTGTGTTAGTAACATCTGGGGTAGATATCCACAGTTTGTCTGTGAAGGAAAATTAGTTGTTAATTAAAAGCTGAAAGGTCGTGGTGATCAGCATGTTGATTTAACCTGTGGAAGTAAATTTAGATGACTTTCAAACCTTGAAGAAATTTTAAAAGTTGAAAAAAAATGTTGAGAATATATCATGAGTGAAAAGGAGACATTTAAACAAAAAACAAAAAATTTTGGGTTGAAAAGCACAAACACTGTTGTTTTAGGCAACCCTGTTTGGGAGAAAATTATTAACGAAGGGTTTTAAATCAGTGGGGGAAGGGGCCTGTTAGAAGCCAAGGCGTTCCCCCTTTTGTTTTTCTTAGAGAAAAGAAAGGCTAACTTTGAAGAAAAGTTTAAAGAGAAAAACATGAAAGTTTGATAACAGAGTCAGAAGGAGTGAAAGGCTGTGTGAGACTGAGCTATGGCAGGGAGGCACCTAGAGGCTAGTATCTAGAGTCAGCAGCTCACTGTTCTCAGAGGGGGAGGGGAGGACAGGCAGTGGCAGTTTCTCTAGGCTCAGTCTGGAGTTTTTGGTTGTGAGAAAGAAACTGTAAGGTAAACAGAGGTGAAGGGGTGCAGATTGAGTCTCAGACTCTCTGTTATCATGCAAGCCAGCTGGGCTATAGCTGGCCATAAATGACGTAGAAGGTGAAGTGGGGGAGGGGCAAACAGCGAGCCAGCCCTGTTGTTACAGGTGAGTCAGCTGGGCTGTAACCAGCCAGTTGCAAATGGGGGAATTTTAGCGCGAAAAGTTAACCCCTGGGGGAGGGGCAAACCTCTTTGTAGGCAGAGCATGGGAGATTTCTTGGGGGGAGGGTAAAGAATGGCGATTAAGGAGTCTCTGCCATTTTGTGGAGAACACGTGGAGAGAGAAGCTTAGTTTTTTGAATTAGGCAGAAGTTAGATTGTAGTTAACAATTAGAGAAAAGTGAGAAGGAGAGAGAGTGGGGGTGGAGATGGATGGACAGAGATGTAACTCACAGTTTTTGTAGGCACCAGTGGGGAGAGTTTCTGAGCTGGCTTTGTGTACCTGTCCACCACTAACCGGGGGGGGGATGGTGTCCCGTGTGTCTTGGGAGCGCGAGGGCGTGGAGTTGTCTGTGTCTCTTGTCTGGAGCATATGTCTCAGGAGGGCAGAGATCGTCATAGAAGCAGGCGCAGAAAGCTTGGCATTTGGATAGGAATGAACTAGTCAGATCTCAGCGGGAGTAGGTGTAAGACTCTTGGATCTGCTCTGGGCCTCAGACGTCTCGGGGAGTTGAGTGTGCAGCAGGGCAGGTTATGGGGGCGGGTGACTGTGTTTGGACAGCCTGTGCACCAAAATTGGCCTCTATTTTGAGTGTCTGTGGACACGTAGCAAAATAGAGGTAAGGGAGCGTACGCAGGGCATGCGCTGGGAAAACAGGAGTCTAAACGTTGTGTCCCATTGGAAATGATTCTTTCATTCATGGAGTTTGCCCCACATTGGGAGCCAGATATAGGGCGCTGCGCATGCTCCGGTCACAGAGAGGCAGTCTCTGATGGTGGGCGTGCAGAGCCGACCCCCGCAGAGAGAAAGGCTTCTCATCCCCTGTTCCATGAGCTGGCACACAGCAACAAGAGACACAGGACACAAGCTGTGAGGCTAACTAGAGTACAGAGAGTGCTGGGGCAGGCGGCCCCACGGCTCGCTTGAGTCCCTCCCCTGCCCCATGAGGGCAGGGGCGGGCAAGATTTTTGACTTACTCGGATCCAAAATTCACAAGACATGTAGAGATTTGGGATGTGTTGATTTATTAACAGATGGCGGGCTTGGGTGGTGAATGATAAAATGCTCTCCCGAAACATGTCGGAAGGTGTTTCGCTTATATATTGGAAACGGAGGAGAAGGGCGGGGCCAGAGAAATCTTGAGGCAGAGACTTGTTCTCTCAGCCCTCTCTCTGGGCTCTGGAAAGCGTGGCCAAATTACAGTCCCACATAATACAATACAACAGATAGAACCAAAACATGCACTGAGCTTTCAAAAATTAGGGGAAAAAAGATTTTAAAATCTTCTTACTTTAGAATATCCGTTGGCAGATGTTTATCTGCTTTATCTAAGAAGTGGGACCAATGGAGCACATATTGTATCTCTTTCAAAAAGTCCCTTGACATTTACACGCTCACCATTTTACACGGTAATAAAATTGGAAAATTTGTTAAGAATTCAGATTTTCTTTTGGCAGCTTATTGTAGTTTTGGCCTATTACTAACTTGGATGTTCCTTAGACAAGTAACATTCAAATAGTTTCAGTCATTTTATTTGTTAGATGCTATAATCTGTCTCAGTACAAGTAATCCTTCCTATTGAAGAAAGTTGTTACTAATTCTTGCCAACAGAGTATAGAAAAAGTCACTTTTTGTTATACAATCCAAATGTGACTACTTTTATCTGAGCCAGTTTTTTGAGACAATTGTTTTGTAATCCAAAATTGCCTTTAATTTTTGATCTTCCTCCCTCTACCTAAGTGTAGTGGTTACAGGCATGTGTCACCATGCTGCTTATATGGTGCTAGGGATCAAACCCAGGACTATATGCATGCAAGACAATTCTGTCAACTGAGCTGTACTCCTAATGACCACCAAAACTATTTGAGAATGACCACTAGCAAGTACACTTATTCAATTAAAGTTACAGTGATTATTACTATTATGTCACAAAGCATATTTCATGTAAAACAAATAAAATATAGTTTGGCGATACATTCACATTAACAACTTGTTTTAACTCAAGAAAAAATCCTCAGTGAATTTCTTTCAGATCAACTGATAGCCATTTGAAAAGTATTAAAGTTAATAGCCATTTGAAAAGTATTAAAGTTCAAACAATTTTATTATTTTATGTGGAGATCAGAAGAAGCCACACAAATCACCTGGATTTGGAGTTATAAATGGTTGTTGGACAGCAGGTTGGTGCTTAAAATCAAACTCCTGTCCTCTGCAAGAGCAACCAGTGTCCTTCACCACTGAGCTTCTCTCCAGGTCAACATGATAAAATCTAAACATTAGATTTGTATGTGAAATAAGGTGTTGAGCTGAAATGTCATTGTTCCTTTGCCTGAAGGGTTACAGGAGACAGGAACCAGGTCTTGGTGGCTTGGGAAGAACACCAGAGGATGGTGGCCTCCATATTTGGACATTTATTTGTACAGGATTTCAACACAGTTCTGATTAGCACAAGGCTTAAAAGGCCAGCTGGATTACTCCTCTTTTGACAATTAATTGTTGAGGGAAATTAAGATTTACATCTCTCTTGAAAATATTAAACAGAAACTTAAATTCTTTTGTGGAGAGCTTAAAATAAGATCTTAGCCAATTAGCATCTCCTAGAAACTTTAGAAAATAATTTGAAATACATAAACTATCTTTGTTTTTTGTTTGTTTTTCCAGACCCATTATCTGTTTTTTATTGTATATTTTATGTATTTACCTTTCAATATTATCTTCTCTCCCATTCTCCCCCAAAACCACTTATCTTATACTCCCTCCTCCTTATGAGGAGGACTCCTTCCAAGGTGAGGGTCACCAGGGTTTTTCTTCTCTATCCCAGGGCAGAGCCCCTAGAGAGACTTGAGATGGACCACTGCCTTCACAGAAGGACATGGTTCAGGAAAACAGGAATGAGAACCCCCTGAAACTCCACTTTACACTACATGAGTTGAACCCACGACTTTGAAAGTGGTAGACAGGCATTCTACAATTGAATTACACCCCAGTTCATGTCTGAGCTTTGGTGACACCAGGACAAGTCAAGAGCTGTAGTTTTTCTCCTGACTAAAGTCCTGTTTAAAGCTCTGACCTCTAGAAATGGAGACTACATATGAATGGTCCAGTGAGGCCTTGTGCTCCCTTTTTCTTCTCAGTGTAAGGAGAACCCATCTGGAGATGTGCAGTGCTCAGAGCCTTCCTCAGGCCTCTGCTGTTTTGTGACTCTGGCTCCTGCATTTCTTTACAGGAAAAGAAGCCTCTTACCTTCCTTTGCAGTATGCAGTAGTCATCACAAATTGTTGGGTTATAAGAAACCCACCACAGCTTTCCTCAAAACTTCTGTCAACGATGATCTTCAGATGAACCATGTAAGGGCAGAAGTGTGGTTTTGCTTGAACACCATCAATAATCTCCTCTGTAACAAAGAACCCACAGTTCATTGTCACAACCTTGCAGGACACCCCAACACAGTGTTAACAAGGAAAGAAGGAGTAAAGCTGATCGACTGCTCCAAGCCCACTCCAGCTCACATGGGGCTCAGGCACCTCCACACATCTTTGGTCTTTTCTCTACTGTTCATCTTTCATCCCCAGTGCTCCATGTCCACCATTACCCTTCATTCAGAACACAATGGGCATTAATGTTTCTGACTTTCCACTTCATCAGACATTTCTCCACACTCATCTTGTCTTTCTCAACACAAGGGAATACAAGAGAATCAGAACAGAGAGTAATTTGATGAAATATGTGAAGAGGAATTAGTTTTTCATTCTTCCTTTACCTGCATATTTCCCCTGGACTATGTTAGCTTAGGATCCTTCCTCATGTTAGGGTATTTGTTATGAAAGGTAAGAGATTAAAATTGGTTGCTGAAAACTGACAAGTTAGGAAGATGAAGACAAAACTCACCAGCTCCAGCTCCTGAAGGCAAGAGAAGTGTCATCAGGAATAGTTAGGACCTGCATTTTGCCGGTGGTGCAGCCTGGGTGAGCTTCTGGTGTGTTTCTGTCCTAGTTCTTGCTTTTATAGTTCCAATGTGGGAAAAAGGAAGGGCTGGAAACCACAGACCTGGCTTGGACAAGTTCTACTTCCCTTATCAGAAATTCTCATGACCCTGCTCTCTAGTAGTGTTGAATCTGTGGCCAGATTCTAAGACTCCTGAATCCCATGATAAGATGGCAACCACACCCTTCACAGTGGCTTGCTGGAGGCAGGACAGGAACACAAAGGAAGTGGGACCTGGATCAGCAATCATGGAACTGTTCTCCTAAGCATCCGCATATTATTGTCAGCTTTGAGACCCATACTGCTTATGTGTAAAATCTCACCTCTGTCATTGTAGCACAAACACAGGTATCTGTAGTGTATGAACATATGGGTGAGAGGGAGTACATTTTATTTACAAAAACTGGTAGTGGACTGATTTAGCCTGAAGGGCATTGTTTGTGTTGACCAGCGTGAGGGCATCTCATCTTTATTCAAATAAGTAGGAGATGAGAAAATGTGGGTGTGAGGGATGAAGATATGGGGAAATTGTGTTGAATACATAGAATGTAGGGCATGACCAAAACTAAAATTAAGTCAGTGGTTTTCAACCTTCCTAATGGTGTGACCCTTTAACACAGTTCCTCAAATTTGGTAACCCCAGACACAAAATTATTTCATTGCTACTATATGACTATAATTTTGCTACAGTTATGCATTTTAGTGTGAAGCATCTAATATGCAGAATATCTGATATTTGACCCCTAAATGTGTTATAACCCACTGATTGAGAATAGCTGCTGTAAGTTCATGTCCTGAGTTAATCATACTAATAGTCTCTTCTATAGACATTGTAATACACATTTATGGAAAACTCAATGAACTTTCAGTATATCACAGTATAAAATATCTTGGTTATCTGCAATGAAAGACAAGACTTTGGGTGACCAAGTATTTACAGCCACCGATCATAAGAATGTATAGTGGTTGGCTCACTGTGTTTAAGTACTCAAGAACAGAGTCAAAAAAGATGATTGGCTTGGACATTATTTTTGGTTCAAAATGAGAATGAAAACATTTTTTACAGATAAAAACTACTGTGATGAAATTTCAGAGAAAAAGATATCATGAAGCTAGATTAATGTAGTAACTCAAACAAGCAATTGTTCAGACTCAAAGACTATGTATCCCAATGAACCATATAATCGGACTTGATATTCTGGAAAAATGGAGCTTTGCAGTAAAATTCTAGGTCTGATAAAAAGAGGTATGGACTATCATAGGAAGCCTCAGCTAGTTCCCAAACTTATTTGTATGATAGATACTGGGTGTTCTTGAGGAAAGTTCTGGCATCAACGCTATCCTTCTGTATTTCCTTCCTTTGCTTCCTTAGAGCTACAAGGAACTGTCTATGCACAACAATAAGAATTAGAAAAAAAAATAAATTAATCTTTTTTTTTCGGTGCACTGATTTTGACCAGATAATACTTTGTAAAGTCCCCAAATTCTTCTGTACAGACCCAGTTAGAGGACTGGCCTTGAAATGATCCACACACGTGGTCCTAAGTGAACATTCTCATTTTGAAACTCAGGAATGAAGAGGTGGGAAAGACATAGTTAACAATTGGCATCATCCCCATAGTTGTTACCTGATTCAGAAAGTGACACAATGATAGAAACTAGTGAAAATTTTCATTACTGCCTCTTTTTACCAAAAAGTAAACCAGGGCCTTGGTATACATAGAGTTCTCTAGGAGTCAATGTAAATAATACATTATTGAACAATACAGAATGAGGTCATTCCTGCTATATCCCCCATCAGGATATCTATTTGCATCCTTGTGAACTATTGTAGATTATTATAAACTCAACAGGGTGGTGATTCCAGCCAAAGTTGCTCTTGGTGTAGTTTTACTGCTGCTGCAAATGAAACATGATTGGCAGCTAATAATCTGGGAGATGCATCATTAGGGACAATAACATCTATTGCAGAGATCCCACTCATATCACATTGATTGTATCATGCTTATTGTGCTTAGAGTGCAGGAGGTAGCACCTACTGTAGACAACTTGGGAAGAGACTTTTTTTCTCAGTGTAGAAAATATCTAAGAGCAATGACTTTAAAAATGTATCCATGGTCAGCATTCTTTCATATGTCAAGGTATCTTTTCTTAATTAAAGTTTTTGCATCTGGCTCATCCATATCTAAAAAAGAGGCAAATTCTTCCCTGGGCATTTTCATGGGAGGTTGACTGAGAATCAAAATGCTCACACAGGATGGCTCCCTCTTGTAGCACACCTGAGAGTGGATGTTTTGAATAATACAATCCTACTTGATGTTATCATAGAAGATGGTGATATATAAAAGCTCAAATCCAAAAAAAAAAAATCCTCACACTTCTAAAAAAAAAAGATCACATAATCTATAATGATAGTAACAAGTAGCAGCCAAAATCATATCGTTGACTCCCCTTTTCTTTTGGTAGTTGTCTGTGTAATTGTAAAGAAACACCTGGGCTATCTTGACTTCATCTTATCAAGATACATTTTTTTTTAAGTTTAAAATGTTTGTTTTAGAAAAATTCATGCAGGAGTATTGTATATAAAGCACTACCATGCCTTGCTTTCCCTCTCATTTGATGTTGTAAATTGCATTGCTTTGTATGTAAGACCACATGGTGGGGGTTTGAATGAAGACTTTGATCTCTAAGCCCATGAATTGGGGTCCTAGTTTGTGGGGACATAGCACTGATCCTTATCTCCAGCCTCTTGGGAATCTTAACTTTCAAAGGAAAACTAAATATCCATAATAACAGGAAAAAGTGTCTCATTTCTTAGAGACACTGAAATTGCTGGAGAAGGAAGGGAGAGAACAGGCAGGGGATTGGGAGGAGACTAGGATGAACCTGGTGAATGTGTTCCATGTACATTAGGAATGCCATGTGGACAATGACATAGTCCTTTTCTGAGACACCAAAAGAGCAGAGGCGCAAGTGGGAATCACAGGAATGTGCACTGCTCACATATGGACAGGCAAAAAAGTGACTGCCAACTTGAGAGATTGTTTAGGAACATAGTATATTATTCAATGAAGGTCCTGTTCACAGTTGTGGTAAGGTCTCTTAATTATGAAATGCTGATCCTGTGATGCTATCTGTCTGTCTGTCCATTCTCAGCATCAGTCTAGGCTTATCAGACAGTTTCATCATCTTAGCCTCCAATCTATTAATGGTTTACTCATATCTGGTAGTCTTTTGGGGAGCTATACTACCACAAACAGTCATTTCCCTGAGACTCTATGAAGCTCATTTAGCATACCATTGATGCTGTGTGAAGTTCTCCAGCTCCTTAACCAGTGTGATGGAGTCAGAGGCCCTACCTCAGTGAATGTGATTTGTGCTGCACCCTGTGGTAACTTTTAGGGTGAATATCTCCTCAATGGAGTGCTCATTTGGGACTCCTCCATTAGCTCTTCAGGATCTGAAATCAAAAATTTCCCAGATATTGTTTTTCCTTGTTTTGGGATTTCCTATCTTCTGCGCTCTTTCTCTTTCCTCACTCATTTGGACTTGGAGAAGCAAAGTAGTATAATTTTAATATCCTTATGAATTAGACCACAGGGAGGAATGATAAACCAAGACTAAGTTTAAGCTCTAAGTTTAAGTTCAGCTCTAAGTTTGTGGATTCTAGGTCAATGGGCTTGCTTAGTGGTTTTTTCCTCTGAAAACCCAAGCCTAAGTGGGAACAAAGAAGAACTGGGAGAAAATGGGTCTGGAAAGAAGTGATAAGTTTGTAGCTACTAAGACTTCACTGTTTTCTGTTCACAGGGATACTCTAGGGACACTTTGGGATTTGTTTTGTTTTGTTTTTGTTTTGTTTTGTTATAACTCTATATTATTTTGCAATCCAGTGTTCATCCCCTTTCCAGTCCATCCCCAATCACTCCCCATACCTACTTCCATTTGCCTCACTGTCTCCAAAAGTTGTCATCACACATGCCCAGCCCCACCCTCCAGAATTCCTCACTCCCTGGGGCCTCAAGTGTCTCCAGGGTTAGATACACCTGCAGCAGGATAAGTTCCTGTTACTGCTACATTGTTTATACAGTGGAGCTCAGTGATTGGGCAGTATGAAAGATAGGCTGAGTGAGTAGTTGAGGGGGAGAGAAGGAGTAGAAGGGGAGGAGAAAAGGGTGAGGAAGATTATATCGACTATGGAGGTCAGATGGTTGGAGAGCAGTCCAGGCTAGCAACTTATCAAAAGGTTAGATGTTGAGTAACAATTCTAATTGTGTGGGCATCATGTTAATTGAGAATTTTCAAATATATAAATCTATTGGATAATCTTTAAACATTAAGAGTCTTCATTCTACCAGGTACCATGAGTATGGAAGATATTGTTGGGGGTTCAGCCGAGCTTTATGAACACAGCATGAAAGATTGGCAGAGCCAATTCTCCATGCTGACAACTTGTGGATCTAGTTGTGGCATGCATGGCCTCTGGCCGATTCAAGCTGTGGCACTCTTCACTTCTGGCCACTTCTAGTACCGAACATGGTGGCCAGAGCTAAGCAGAGCCACACCACCAATAAGAGAGCTGGGGTTTTTCTAGATATCTCTGGCTACAGAGGCCAGATCTGGCAGATCTCTGCTGTATATATGTCCAGACCTCATATAAGCTGGTGTATGCTGCCTGGTTGGTGGCTCAGTGTCTGAGAGACCTCAGGGGTTCACATCTGCTGAGACTGCTGGTCTTCTCATGGGACTGCCCTTCTACTCAGCTTCTTCCAGTTTTGCCCCAATTCAACCACAGGGTTCCACTGGGAACCCTCTAAGTGTAACACAGTGGCCCAGAGCATTGTCAGTTATCTCTTATGTCCTTGGACTCCTTCTCAATATTCATGAAAATCTCCAGCTTTATACCTTTGAAAACATATTCAGAAAACAACGAGCCTCCTGCAACAAAGCTCAAATGCCAAAGTTACATCAGGGCCAGTGTCCGGCATCT